ATGATCTCTGAGGCGATTTTCTGGTAGAATGACGAAGCGGGGCGAGAATCATTCTTTCCACCGTCAGCCCTTGGCATTTTTCGCTAGTTAACGAAAAAGCGGGAACCAAAGGTATTTGCGTGATGTTTACAGAAAAACTGCGGTCGGGAAGCTGGATCTGAATACTGTTCTGTTTCCAGGGCCGCAACGGGACCACACCGTCTGGTAGACCTTCAAAGAGCGGATTGTTGTGATCACGTAACTGAACGAATATGATTTCGGGTGGTTCAGAGTGGACGCGCGTCACGAACCCTCCAACTTGAATGACCTGTTCGATATCCGTCGAAGATGGCTTGATAGATACAACGTATCCAATAGTGCCGTTGGCCAGTTTAAACACCGTCGAAACGTTTTTGCTGCACTGGACAGGCATTTCAAGAGCGATTTGCATGCGCACGGGTAAATTACCGGTTTTGTCGTCACGTATGGCGTTCAGACTTCTGCGTTGGCTGGGAGATAGGATGGCAGATTTAGGGCGAGCCACAAGTGCTGGAAATTCATGAAGGACTTGCCCGCGAGCTTTGCAAAAAGCAATGGCGGATTCGTGGTTAAACTCGCAGCGTAAGGCGTTGGAGGTAACGATAATTGGGCAATAAGTGTCCATTTCTTGCACATGCTCAGACCACTTTTTGCGGTAACACATTGCGTTCACGATATCGATGTTAGAAGAGAGATAATTGCCCACATGCCAACGGTTCAGTATATCTCTCCATTGCGGGTCATCCCTGTGACGCATGTTTTCGTCCAATATGACTACGTAGTTAACTGCCTTGTACACTGTGTTGCCTCGAATACGTTCCAGATAATGCGTCGCGTCGCTGTGTTTCATTTTGTTAACATCTCGACCAGGGTCTGGGACTGAAAAAGCAGGACACCCAGCAACGGGAAGTTGTTGGAGCCAATCACCGACGAATAAAACATGAACACCCCCGAAAGGGAATCGGGAGCACCTTTGAGATCGCGCAATGCAGCATCGGCCATTCCCAAAAACCGGCTATCCATTGTCGATATCTCATCAATAATAAGCATCTTCAGCTTGGCAAACCTTTCACGTTGCGAAAAACTGTAACTCGGCTTTTTCTTTCGCGAGTGAATTCCCCATCCGAAAAACTTGTGCAGTGTTTGCCCATTAGCCGCCTGAGCGGCGACGCCTTGGTAAGCCGCAGTCCCTAGCGAATCTGAGCTTTCCCAGCTGGCCGCTAACTTCTGTAGAGCCTTAATTACTTGGCTTTTACCAGCGCCAGGTAAACCACCGA